CTGACGAAGAATAACATGTCGTCGTGAGAGACATCCTTTGCCTTAACGAAGTGTCTCACAAACAGATCCGTCCAAAAGAGATCAGACGAAACCATTACAAAACCACCCGATTCTGTAAGCCAGGCATTAATTCATGAGTAAAAAACATATAAATATTCAAATGAAATGAAATGATCCTATTTTTTGTGCAAAAAAATCTTTCCCCAAAATGTCATCAACTTTGAAATGAGTGTATTTTATAAAATATCTATGCATTGGTGTAATATATACAATTTTCCAAAGCTTTATTAATCAATTTGTTTTCTTATTGCATGAAGCAGTTTCTCTGTTTGAAAACCTCTGTTTGCATTCAACAAAACTAATAAAGTTATATAAGGCTTGAAATTGAATTCTTTGTTATATTCAATTCAATTATGATTAGAGTTTCTATTATTAAATAAATGATACTAAGAGCAGATCCTTATCAACAAAATTGAATACCATATTCAGTAATTGCAAAAAGTCATTATTTGTTAATTAAACGCCACTATATTGTATATTTTTAAAACAATAAGTACATTAAACTTATTTATACAATATATTTTTAATATCTGTTTTTTATATTCATATCTGATATGAAACAATTAAATTTTGATTTGTGTTAGAATATGTTTTGTAAAATACAAAACATACACATTTTATTTTTGTAAAATATCTACCGTAAGTTATAAAAATAATAATTAGATTTCGTAAAAATATATCGGATTAATAATTATATGAGTAACTTTACTATTAATAACTTCCAGATATCTTGCAAAATAATATGTAAAGAATTTAAAACCTAATAACTGACTTTTTAGACTATTCAACAAATGTGTTAAATTCTCCTGAATGTTAGGAATAAAAGTTTTATGTTTTCTATTGACCGAAAGTTATTTATAATATTTTTCCAGTGAATTTCGTGATATATTATTTAAATGATATAATGTATAATACAGTAATTGTATTAAGGACTCAGAAATAGAGATTTCGCTCAAAGGGATTGCATTTTTGCAAAAACATATCCATTAATTAACCAGAGAGTAAAATCTAATTATTTGTTTAGGTTTTATGAAATAAGAAAGAAGCCATAGATTCTGTAATATATATTAATTCACTTCAGTAAACATATTTACAATTTATTATGAAATTTTTATTAACTTTGAGCGCAAGATATAAACAAAAATAAAATTATATAATAAAT